AAAATGGAAAAAGAAAAGTTGAGCAAGGTACACAGGATTTTTGATGGCTGATTAAAAAAAAGATTGTCAGGACTTTTTCTGAACTACCTCTGGGTGGACTAGAACTTCCAGGATTTTGGTTAGCAGCTAAGATGATTCACTCCATCTGTTGTTAGGTGCCCATGAATGGATTCTGACTCATGGCGACCCTGTGCCCAATAGAATAAAACACTGCTGGCCCCTGCAAAAAAAAAAAAAAAAAAGATCCAAACAACCCATTTTCTATTTTCTTTCCATACAGGCTCAATGTCCCAGGGTTTCATTTACTGACAAATAGAAAAAAAGAACAGTGGTTCTCAACCTTCTTAATTCTGCGACCCATTAATACAGTGCCTCAGGTTGTGATGACCCCGTGTGTGGGCGTATCTGCCTGTGGGCGGACCCACCTGGAGAGGGATAGAGGAACGATGTCTCGGTTTCTAAGACCATAGGAAATTTGGTCTTAGGCGACCCCTGTGAAGAGGTCGTGCGACTCCCAGAGGGGTCGCGACTCCCAGGTTGAAAACCTCTGTCTTAGAAGAAGGTGAACTAGAGATGGAAAAGAGTCCAGAGGAATAACAAAAATGTAAGCAGGCCCAAGACAAAAGAAACCAATTAGTATTAGACCTGCTACTTTATGTTTGGTTGGCAGATGGCGGGAGTTGGAGTTCTGTGGCCAGTGGAGCTTTTCAGACATGACATCATTTATGTCCTTAAAACTCTTCCGTGGATTGCTGTTATCTTTGGATAAAATCCAAACTCTGTTATGTGGCATAAAAGGCTCAAGTCCTGCCTCTGTCATTTGTTAGCTGTCCAGTGGGCACGTTATTTAAACCCTCTAAGCCACAGGAAAGGCCAGTCTCTGGAGAAGGACATCATGCTTGGTCAAGAAGGGGAGCGAAAGGGAGGAAGGCTGTCAACAGGATGATTGAAATAGTGCCTGCAAGCCTGGCTGAGCACAGGCCCACTGTGAGGAAGGCGCAGTGCTCCGCTCTGTTGTGCGCAGGGCCGTGAGGAGTCTGACACGACTGGATGGCCCCTAGCAACAAGAAGCCCTGGTTTTCTCATCATTAGATAAGATGACTACTAGTACCCTTCGTGGGTAGCTGTGACTTTAAATCAGACTAAACTGTTAGTCGTTACCGCCAGGCCTGTTGGCTCAGTACTTACTGAGAGCTAACTACTGTTATTAGTAATCTTAAATTGACTAATTACAGTCTTACTTGAAAATGGATTCCACTAGGAATGTCATTGTTAAAAAGAGTTAAAACTGTAGGTTTCAGCTATCTTAATTTTTTCATTTACTTTTTTCTGAATTTGTGTTAATATTCCTGGGTTTTTTTGAGAAACCATTCAACGTACTGGAGATATGTTTCCCTAGTGACAATGGAGACTAATTTATTTACTACGACCGGTTGTGAGGATAGCACAAGAGCAGGTAGAGTCCGGTGTGTTGTGCACAGGGTAGCACTGAGTGAGAACGGACTCTGTGGCCTCTGACAACAATTCATTGAGTGTAGAGCTCATGTTAATGAACTATTTGTAATTTACACGAATACCTGTGCATTTCCCTGCAGAGTTTCGTTTCCTCACCCAGATTAGGAACGAAAGACAGCAGCGTAAGTGATCAAAGCCCAAAGCCTGGAAAATTCCAACGAACCCGTGTCCCTGGAGCCGAGTCTCGTGATAGCATGGATTCTGAAGGTCGCGACCTTCTGTACAGGTAAGGGTGGTTTGGGACGTTTCACTCTGCAGGCCCTGGTTCTTTACGTCACAAGATGTTTTACAGTGTTTAATCACGGTGTCATTAATAATGCATCTGTCAAAACTTTTGGGGAAAGTTTCTTCCACCTTATTTACCAAATGGCATTTTCAATTCTGGCCAAGTCCTGTTGACACGTGCAATAAAGGTTAATATTCATTGTTGCTGATTTTCTCCTTTTCTAATAGAGTGCAACTTATGTCTTGTAGCATTGACGCATATAGATCTCAAAGATTCAAAGAAGCTGAACGCCCTTCAATAAAGCAGGTGATTGTTCGGAAGGAAGATGTTACTTCCAAATTGGACGAAAGGAAGAATGCCTTTCCTGGTAGGCAAGTTAACATCAAACAGAAGATGCAGGTATGCCCTTGTGTGGAGAGGGGATTCGATTGTTTCCTGTAGTAGACCAAGAGCTCTGAGCGCAGCGACCCCCCGGCCTTGCTCATCTCTGTACCCGGAGTGCCTCCAACAGTATCTGGCATGCAAGAGCTCTAGAAGTCACTCCCATTCCACTGAATTTCAGAAAGATCCTGTTTTCTGAAAATTGGAAGATTGCTTGATGCTGGTGAAGTATTTATTTTTTAAAAGGCCATAGACATATTTAAAGTATAATTATTAGTTGAATGGTGGCGAGGTCTGAAGTTTCTTTAGCTCTGTGTTGTTAGTTGCCCTTGGGTCAGTTCTGACTCCTGGCAGCCCTTGTCAGAGTAGAACTGCTCTCTGGTCTTCCAGGCTCTGACCTGTTGGAAACTGATCAGCAGGCCTGCCTTCCAAGGTGCATCTGAGTGGGTTTGAACTGCTAGTTTTGATTGTAGATGTTTTTTCCTTTTTCTTTTAAAGTCATTTTATTGGGGGATCTCACAGCGCTTATAACAATCCATACATCAATTGTATTGAGCATATTTGTACATATACTGCCATCATCATTTTCTTTTTTTTTTTGAATCATTTTATTGGGGGCTCATACAACTCTTATCACAATCCATACATACAACAATTATGTAAAGCACACTTGTACATTTATTGCCCTTATCAGTCTCAAAACATTTGCTCTCCACTTAAGCCCTTGACATCAGCTTCTCATTTTTACCCCCTCCCTCTCTGCTCCCCCCTCCCTCATGAACCCTTGATAATTTATAAATTATTATTTTGTTATATCTTATGCTGTCCAACGTCTCCCTTTACCCACTTTTCTGTTGTCCATCCCCCAGAGAGGAGGTTATATATAGATCCCTGTAATTGGTCTCCTCTTTCCTCTCTACCCTCCCTCCTCCATAGAGGTTCTTTTATGATAAGAAAAGCATTAAATCATATTTTTTAAAGACAGTGTATGAGGGGGTTTCAAAAAACTCCTTGGAATTTTTACGTGAACTTTTTGAAGCCCCCTTGTACATGTACCTTCAATTCAGATCATTCCTGTATCCACAGTCTACTGGCTAGTGCCCCAGTTATGCTTTTAGTAAATATAAATTGGAAATCCTTTCATAAGGAGGGATGCTTATAGCTTAACTATTCTCTTCATAGGATGTTGAATGGATTCAGTGCATAGTCAATGAAATTGACCTGAACAATGAGATTAATAGTTTTACTCTAGAAACTTTGGAAAGTATGGGATCGGATTAGTTAGAATGAAAATGAAAATGGTTGCTAAATATGTGTCTCCTCCCCACCCTGCACTGGTCTCTCTAGGACCTCAGTAATGAAATCAATTTGCAGCAAACGGTCATTTATCAAGCTAGCCAGGCGCTGAACTGCTGTGTTGATGAAGAGCATGGGAAAGGGTCACTCGAAGAGGCTGAAGCAGAAAGACTGCTTCTGATCGCAAGTATGTGCCGTGCACCGACGACGATCCCACACATTGTAAGCACAGAAAGTGCTCATTTCGTCTAGTGGATTCAGCAATTCCTCATTTTAAAGAAAAGGCTTCTTCTGATAATCTGTTCTGCTTGATCTAGTTTGGGTTTCTTGTACTTATGAGCTTATGAAAATTATATTAAAAATACAATGTAGTTTGCATGAAAGGTGAAGAGAAGCTGGAATACATTTGAAAAAGTTATAGTTGTGAAAATTATGTTACAAAATGTGTGTGTGTTTGTGTATTGAGAATATGGGACTTTGCTGTGTATGTGTGTTTGCTTCTGATGAGGCAGAGATTATACCATACATGACAACAGATCAAAAATTAAAACATATATTACATATAAAAATTAGGTAAACAGATGAGCAACCAAGCTTTACCATCTGTAGAGAGTCTTACATTTCTGTCTTTAGGCTTACGTACAGTAGTTAATTGGTGTGGTTTCTTAAGCTAGCTCTCATTTAGAAGCGGCTTCAGTCTTAACTGTTGGCATGCTTACTTGCATATCTTAAAGCTGAGAAGAGAGCACTTTTGATTGATGAACTGAATAAGCTGAAGAGCGAAGGACCTCAGCGGAAGAACAAGACCAGTCCCGTCTCCCAAAGTCAGTTCGTCGCGTCCACGGGGTCGGTTACTTTGTCAGAAATCCGCCTGCCTCTAAAAGCGGACTTTGTCTGTGGCACAGCTCAGAAACCAGGTATGATGACTGATCGTTGACGTCACTTGGAGATCATATTCTTCCTTATGGGTCTCACTAACTTGCAACTGTACAGGCTAGAGCCCTGCTGAGCATGCATAAAGATGCAAATCTTATGCTCTCTGGCCTTTATTTCCTTTAATCAAACTATGTGCGTAAAAGTAACTTAAGGGACATTTTATACTTAAGGTGACTGATATGCACTATAAGTAATGTGCATGGCTGTAATTGAGACTAAACCTGAAAAGCAAACCCATTGCTAATGAGTCAAGTCCAACTCATGGTGAACCTACATCGGGTTTCTGAGAATGTTGGTCTTTGTAAGAGCAGACAGACTAATCTAGGAATACTTGACTTTTTCCTAAGATTAACTATCATAAGACAGATCGTTGGTTTGGCTTTTTTCATTTATTAGTTTTATTGGTAGGAAATACTAGGGCATCTAAAAGAACTTTATTTTATTTTACTCAACTCCAGTTACTTTTCACTTCTATAGATAATTGTTCTGTGAATGTCTATAATTAAGTAGGGGCAAGGATTCTTATTCCTTTTGTCTTTCAATATTGAACAACTGCAGTAAACTTTTCTGAACGTTGTATCCTCTTTCAAATCATATGTAAGCACAGTAGGTATAGGAGAATGTTCCAGGAGCTGAAAAAGGGGGCAGGGTAAGTATAGCAAGGGTAATAAAGTGTCAATTGTATTGAATGTCAGAAGTGGAGGGTTTAGACTTGTTAGTTTTAGTTTTTTAGGGTCCTTTAAATTTTTTATTGTGTGGAAATCCTCTGAATCAAGGGGAAGGTAGAACTTACTGTTTGAGGATCAGAGAACGTAAAGAACGGAAGTCTTCGAAGTTGAACCAGGATTATAGAAGTTAGAGGCACCGTAGGCTCTATCCTCTTACTGTGGTCTGATTTGGTGGGATGGAGGGAGTAGGTAGGAATCTGCTGGTAATTTAACATGGACCTTAGATATGTGACTATTTAATATGATGGTGAAGAACTAGTTTATGATTTTATTAAAATTTATCTGAATAACTTTCACAGAAATACAGTACTTTAATCTTAGTTTTGAAATAAACTGAAATCCACCCATTTGAGGCGTATACTCTTAGCTAAAGCATTGGGTTCAATAGTTAAAATACAATGTTGGCAGGAATCGAGGCATGAGTGAAGTGGCCTGAGATAGTCTGGAATTTATTATTTAAATATTATTTACCTTTTAATAATATTTAAATAATATTTTATTTTAAATAATATTTAAATTTCTCGGTGATGATGATGGAAGTCCATGGAACCTACTTCTTACTTAGCCTTTTGTTTCTGGAAAATTGATTTATATAATTTTTAATGTAAGTCAGGTACAGTAATACTTTATTCATTTAGTCTTCCAGAATGCTGATTAGCAAAATCTGATTTTTCTTGTTTGCTAATTATATGATGGGATTAATTTCTTGCAGATGCGGCAAATTACTATTACTTAATTATACTAAAAGCCGGAGCTGAAAACATGGTAGCCACACCATTAGCCAGTACTTCAAACTCTCTTAATGGAGATGCTCTGATATTCACTACTATATTTACTCTGTAAGTAAATTAGTCTTCATTCAAAACCCCCTCCTTTTGAGAATTAATAGAATCTAAGCAATGCAGTTGAAATGTATAGTCTGAAAGGGCCCACTTTTCAGTATACACACATATACACTTAAAATGTGAACTGTTGAGCTTCCTTCCATATGTGCTTCAAATCACATTAATGTACTAATGAAAGAGCCACTTATATTTAGTGTCATAAACTTATTTTCATCTCAGAGTTAAATTCTGTTTGGAAAATATGACTTAAAATTTTTTTATTATGAGGTGGGTAAAGGTTTACAAAGAAGACCATACAATACTTTGTATACATTTTGTTTCATCTCATCCATTACCATCCCTCTCATGTACCCTCCCATATCCCACATCCTTGCTGTGTTTCCGGCTACCATTCCTAATCCTGTGATCTTTGTCCTTGGATGCTAAATACTGTCCTGATCCTGAATGGTGGATTATTCAAACGGGGGTGATTTCAGCGTCAGACATGAAAAGTGACCAAGGGCCATAATCTTGGGCATCTGACCAGTAAGCCTGGTCTCATGTTTGATTTTGAGCTTTGTTCCACTTTCCTTTGCCATTCCATCCAGGACCTTGTAGTGAGGCCCTTTCAGAGCAGTCTATGGTGGTAGCTGGGGACCATCGGGTTCTTCTTGTCTCAGGATTATGGAAACTAATTATGTGGTTCATTAGCCTAATTGCTTCCATGTCTCAGTTTTCATCAGTCTGGATGGGAAGTAACCGGTAGCTGCACCTTCCTGGTGGCGCCCAAGCTTTTAAAACCCCAGAAAAATGACCTTTCGTTTTTAAGGGACTTGGGTTGTGAAATACTGAGAAAAGTATTTCTGAATTTTATTACAGGATAATAGTTTATGATTATAGCGTTTAGTTAAAAATACAGTGAATTCTTTTACCCTCAGCATCTTGCAGTATTGTGTTATTTTTACTGACTTGAGATTTTTCTAAACATTTTTCTTTTTCTAGTCAAGATGTGTCCAATGACTTTGAAATTACTATTGAAGTTTACAGCTTGGTAAGGAGCTAATACTTTCTGAAACAATGTATTATTTTAGAATGTAATATTCTTAAAGATCTTCAGTTTTAACTAATCTTTCTTTTGGTTTGTGTGTAGGTACAAAAGAAAGATCCCTTAGGTCCTGACAAGAAGAAAAAGACGTCTAAGTCCAAGGTGAGAATGAAAGAAGCCAAATAAAAATGTTTTTATCAGAGACAACAGATGTCATTAGACGTATTTTAATTTACATATAGTTTTAATGATTGTGATATTGTTAGAGACACTTTTTATGCTTCAAACTTCTAGTTACTGCATTTCATAGATCAGGATCCTAAGCACAAACTTACAGGATCCTGAGTAATGTTCTTGAGGTACTCAGGCGTTGATTCTGTGTTCTCCACTGGACAGCCAACTCTTCTAGCCTAACCCTGCCCTCCAGGCTGTCCTGTGAACTTCCACTAAGTCCCCTTAGCCAGCACTGCAGAACAAAGAGAGGAACTGGGCAGGCACAGGGAGTAGAGTCTAGCTTGGTTTCCCAACTTCCCAGTCTGTGCTCTTTTGTCATCATTTATTAAAATGTGTTTCTTCAACCACAACAGCACAAAAGGACTGAGTGATATGTATTAAATTGTAATAACAGGTTAAGAATATTATTGTTCATTTTTTGATAATTGCCTTATATGAGGGACTGTCTTAAGGCTGACTGACTTTTAGCCCTGAGTCGCAGTGTTGAGTAAGAAATATACTGAGCTACAATTTCTTCTAGGCTATCACTCCAAAGCGACTCCTTACGTCTATCACCACCGTAAGTAGAGCTTTAAAAAAGGTAAAAAGTTTAGCTTCTTGAGAAATCTTGTAAATTGGTTAATCTTTTCTAAACTCTGATTCCGTAAATGGTATAGGGGCTGTATCTGACCTCTTCTGGCTTCCCTCGTGCCACAAGCCAGCGGCCAGACATACCTCCAGTCTCCATCTTTATTTACCCCAATCAGACACCAGCCTTTCCTCCCACACCCTCCACATTGTATGTTATGTTCGAGAATTCATTGGTCACATAGAACCCAAAAACAATACTCACAATTAAGAGGGTGTATTAAAGAGTTAGGAGATTATCACAAGTTGGGATCAGGGTACAGTAAGGGCACAGTCATTGATCCGTAGCAATACTTCTCCTTAGTCTCTGGTCCTCAGCCTCTCAGCCAGGCCCTTGGCCTCTGCCTTCCTGCACCAGGGAACCTGCCTGTTGCTTTGTCTCACAGTTCCACATCTCAGTGTTGCCCCGCTTGCACTGTCCCATAGTCTCTGTGCTTCTGCCACTTCAGACAGATCTGGAATATGCTCTTCCTAGGCTTTCTCTCTGCTCCTGCTTTAAAAGGGGGTGAGAAACCGGCCAATCCTCTTAATTAGTGTTATACATGCTCTATTTGCATAGTCCCACTCAAGCATTTGGTAGGAGTTATTGAGACAGGAGTAGAAAAGCCATGCTAAAGAAATTTCCCTCTACCATACTTAGCACCAAAAATCTTAGTGATGGGGCAGGAGAAGGGGTAACAAAATCCCTGACACTTGCTAGGGAAAAATGTTTTCTGAAATAAGGATTTGTAACAAAAAGAGGTTTATATCTAATATAGCTTACATTTCTTTTTCAAATCTTTTCTTTTTTTCTTTAGAAAAGCACCCTTCATTCTTCAGGTAAGTTAATTCTGAACTATTTGAAACTCTAGAATAAGGAAAATAACTGAGCATCGTGGTCCTTATAGAGATAGGCTAGCTTGATGGATGAATGTTTGTCTAGTCTCTTTTGAGATACTATTTTCTGTATGGTTTGTTAGTAACTTGTAAGATACTGGACAGAACAGCTTGCTGTCTGGCTGTGCCGTTTGTACTGTTATCAGATAATAAACTGTAATCGGCACATGCAGCCTCTAACAAACACCAACATATGAAACTCACTAACCAGTTGCCAGCAAGCCAGTTCTCTGACTCACAGTCATCTCATGTATAGTCACTGCACAATGCAGCCATTCACACTGTTCGTAATTTTGACTTGCTCTCCACATCATAAGGAGCTCTGATGGTCCAATGGCTAGTTGTTTGGCTGCTAACAGAAAGGTTGGTGATGCACAGTTACCTGCTGCTCCAGGGTAGAAAGATGTGGCAGTCCGTTTCCATAAAGATTTTCTTAAAACAGTTTCATGTTTTAACACCTACCCATATATCATACAACTCAATAGCTAGATATAAAATAAATGTAAAACAACAGTTTTCTCTCACTAGAAATATGTTAGAAGTTAAAAAAAATTTTCTTAACCCTGCTTAACAGGAAAATGGGACAGTTTTCTTTATGGCAATTTAATTATTTCTGATTGGAGTGCCTTTCCTGGGGTTGGAGGGAAGAATCGCTATTTCTAGTCCTGCATGCTGGCTGACCTCGCCTGCCCTTCTCCCCCACAGTTCTGGCGAGTCCAGGTGGTCTCAGTGCTGTGCGCACCAGCAACTTCGTCCTTGCTGGATCCCACACCCTGTCCCTGTCTTCAGTAGGGAGCACTAAGTTTGCTCTGGACAAGGTAATCCAGTGTTCGTTACAGGGGTGTGATGGGACCACCGTTGTTCATTTTAGCAACTCTAGACCAATGTCACAGTGCTTTCAAGGATTTTAATCTTTGGCTGAAAATGTTCTTTGGAATACAAGGAGACTTCAAAAAATTCATGGAAAAATCCATGATCTTTTCATTCCAGTGTCCCCTGAGATTTTTGAAGCTTTCTCTTGTACAGTTGAATGAGGCATGATGTTGAAAATATTTCTCCCTTGTATCTTAACTGAATTTTCAATGTAGTGAATGTTGGCTTACGTCTAAGTATCACTTCTAAGTGAAGTAGTATTACTTTTTACCTTTAGATGTTAAATTTACAGGTTTGAAGCATAACATCTTGCCCATTTGAACTTGTATTTATGAGCAATAGTTTATGGATCTTGTTTTCACTAGATTGATGTTCATCTTTTTGAAGCGTACTCATGAATTGGAGAGATTCTAGTGTTTAGGTCTGCATTATAACACTACCATGTGCTCCCCCACCCCCTACTGTGATTTGACTAACGTTTTCATGGACGCTTGGTAAGTAGACCCTCTCAGCGGAGCCAGGACTGGGCCGCTTTGTTTTTCTGGGTTGGCCCTGCTTTAGGAGAGGACGTCAGAAAGCGCATGGAAATGGAATTTAAAAGATCATGAAATTTTTCTATGGACGTTTTTGAAGGCCACCCAAATAATGCAGTGGTATTTTAAAACATTGTAAGAGATATCTGTTGTCAGAGACAAAGAAGAAATTGGGAGGCTTGGAGTCTATTTTTATTCTGCTAGAAATTTCCTCTTTAACTTGGAGCAAATCCACTTCATATTTCTGGGGTCCTGTTCTCATAGTATAGAGTATTAAATGAAAACAATCTTAATATTAAAATTCTATGAAATGTTTTTCTTTTTGCCGACTGACAAAAAAGCAGACTGTCCTTGAAATTTCCATGATTGTAATTGCATAAGTGTGTTGTAATATTTATAACATTAATTTTGAACAAACAAACCTATGTAACCTTTTACTTGTGATTTAGCTAGTTTTAACAATAGAGTGATTCTGGGTCTTTTTATTTTTTCTTTTCTTTTTTCTCTTTGTCTTTTATTTTGTGTGTTTTAGATAAATTATGATGTAAGAGAGCGAGAGCTACTGGGCTATTTGTTCCAGGAAAAGGTTGCCATCTTTTTTTTTGCTTTAACTAATGAGTTTAAAAATAACCGTTAATTTATGGCCCCACGTACTTGTTTTACTAACCACTCTTAAATCTCTTTGGTTCTTTTAACCCCCCAAGGACATTATGTACTGGTTCTTTCTCTGACCTCTTGGAGATGGGCGCTCTTTTCTCTCCTCAGTCTCACACCCCTCACAAGCTTCCTTTGGAAGTGTCCTTTTTCATGCACGTTTGGGAGCTGGGTTCGCTCTGACTTTCTTTATTCACTGTTAGAATTCTTTAAGACTCTGCAGTCGCTTCCGTAAGCACGTGGCTGCTAACTGAAAGGTCAGTTAGAAGAATTTTTTTAAAACTTAAAAAATGTCTTATTGTGGTTGAAATATATAACATTTGCCATTTCAACATGCGTACATGTACTGTTTAAGATTTTTACTATCTTTAGAAAGATTCATTGTAAGCATATTTTGGATATACAGTAATGGTAATCAACAAAATACAGTTGTTATTTTTTAAATTTTATTTTAACTTCTTAAAACAACATTTGTAATTTAGATAAACATAATCGGGAAGAATTATATTCTTTAATCAGTTGTCACATAGCTAATTCTATATGTAAAAGACTTAACCTGTGTAAGGAAAGATTTCAATTACGTATCTAATCTTTTAAAAACTTTGTTGGCTGTCATTTTATTTGAAAATATCGCCAAGTTGAAAGTATACTGTTTCCATTTTGTTAATAACGCTTGTTCAAATTATACTGCATGATTTAACGCAAATGTGAATCAGCTAAGTTAAATTTTAGTGTCTTGGACTCTAAAGGAGCCCTGGTGGTGCAGTGGTTACGAGCCGGGCTGCTAACTGCTGTTAATCGCGAGGGCAGCAGTTTGAAAAGAGCCTCTCCTCGGGAGAAAGCTGAGACTTTCAACTCCTGTAAAGAGCTAAAGTCTATTACTGAGTCAAATATAATACCATTTAGATGTAATAACTATCCCAAATGTGCTTTTGTGAGGAGTAAAAGGAAGCAAATATTTGTACTAGTATCTTGTAGGTGGTGTCTGAGAATATTTAAAATAATTAAGATATTTAAACGAGAAGTCCTGGTGGCATAGTGGTGACGGGTTGGGCTGGAACTGCAGTCAGTAGTCCGAAACCACCCGCAACTCCATGGGAGAAAGACGAGGCTTTCTACTCCCATCAAGGGTGACCGTCTCAGAACCTCAAAGGGCAGTTCTGCCTGTCCTATGGGGTTGCCATGGGTTGGCATCGACTTGATGGCGGTGAGTTTGGTTTGATGTTGTTTAAATTGGTGAGAACGATGTAAAGCCTTCCTGACTCGTACACTTTTACCTAGGATGTAGTCTTTATAGGAGCGGACCTCCAAGCCTTTTCTCCTAAGAGCTGCTGGTGGCTTCAGACCACCGGCCTTTCCATTGGGGTGGAACACGTCACCACCGTGCTACCACGTCTCCTCTGCCCTGTAAGGACACTGACTTAGACTCCCCTTCGCAGCAACAACAATACTCATGTAATACGCCTCTTTAATGTGCCCTGGGAGGAGACAAGCCATCTGTATCCCACCAGAGACGAGCAGCATAAGGGAATGTTTGCTTTTTTTTTTTTTTAACTGGTGTGTTGACCAAGGAGTTGATCTCTGAGATCTCTGAGGTAATTTTCGAATGAGGTTTACCAAGCTTGTTTGCTTTACAGATTTAGAGCAGTACTAGCAAAGGTTTAAGGTTTTCTGGACATAAAGGACATCTGACATAAAGGCTGACATTCTGGAATTTAAATTACAAATCTCATTGAGTTAGACTCTCAAACTTTCTCTTTGTGTAGGAAATCCAAACAACTGTACATTTTGGATTTATGCATAAAGGAGAATCCAAAGTTTACCCTTTAACTTAACAAAAAACACTTCTTAAGTATTTTTGTCTTCCGTGGACTAGGGATAATCAATTGGAATATTATTAGAGCAATTAATCAGAATTATGGGATTTTGGAGTTATGTGGGTTAAACCTTTAGCGGTTCAAACCCACCAGCCACTCTGAAGAAGGCGAGGCTGACTGCATGCTGTGTCCGTGGTGGCAGTAAGTGGGCAGTGATTCAGTGACAGTGGGTTTGGTTTTGCCTGATTTAGGTGGAGTGACTACCGTATATACTTGATTATAAGCTGACCCGAATGTCAGCTGAGGTACCTAATTTTGCCACAAAAACTGCATTAAAAATATGCTGAAAAACTTGGCTTATACCCGAGGATATATGGTAATTAGTTGTTCTGATTTAACTCTCTTAGGGCTGTGTGTTAGACAGGGTTCTCTAGAGAAACAAAACCAGAATGCTAATAATTTTATATATATTTATACAGTTAGATCGATATATAACATAAGAAATAAACAGTTAATTAAATTATAAACCAGTACAAATGGCTCAGTGCAACTCACTCCTGTGAGACAGTTGTGAGACACTGGCAGTCCTTTAAGTCTTGAGGACCGCCAGGTAGTCCTCTGTAGAGCAATTCAGGCTATCCGGGCACAGGTATCAAACAGCAAGGCAGGTCACCAACAGTCAACCCTGGGTACAAAAGAAATGCCTGATGCTGTACCATCCTCACAACTGCTGCTATGCTTGAGCCCCCTGGTGCAGCCACCGGGGCAGTCATCTTACTGAGGGTCTTGGGAAGCCTGAGGACCTTCTTCAGGGCCTGGTTCTTCCAGATAGCATGGCCAGAGAACATGAGACAAAGTCTTGCCATCTTGTCTTCTACGGAGCACTCTGGCTACTTCTCCCATACAGTTTGTTCACTCTTCTGGTAGCCCATGGTCTATTCAGTGTTCTTCTCAGTACCTTCATTCAGAGGCATCTATTCTTTGGTTCTTGTCTAGCTTTTGCTTGCATACTAGACAATTGAAAATACCATGCCGTGGGTCCAGGTACACCATGGTTCTCAAAAGGACATCCTTGATTTTCAATATTTTAAAGAGGTCTTTAGCAATGGATTTGCCTAATATTGTATGTCTTATTTTTTGACGCTGCTTCCGTGGACATTGGCTGTAGATGCAAGTACAATTATATTCCCAACAGCTTGAATCTTTTCTGTTTATCATAATTTTGCTCATTGTTAAGTTGGGAGGAATACTGTTTATGTTGAGGCATAATCCATACTGAAAGTATTGTCTTAAAGTTTCATCTGTAAGTGCTTGCAGTCCTCCTGGCTCTTTTTAGCAAGCACAGCTATGCCAGCTACATCTTGTAAGTCGCTGATGAGTCTTCTTCCAGTCCTGACGGGCAGCTCCTCAGATTATTTGTTCAGCATACAGCTTGAACAAGCACACATTTTCTGATGCTAAACAACCCAATAACACTTTGCTTGGTTTGAATGGCTGCCTTTTTGTGTATGTAAGGTTCAGCATGAGCACAGTTAAGTGTTCTAGAATTCCCAGTTATTACAATGCTATCAATAATTTGTTATACTCTACACAAGCAAATGCTTTGACAGTGAAATGTGGGTGATGTTTTAGCATCTTTCTGGTGTTCTTCCTTTAAGCCAAGATCCATCAGACATCACTAATAATATTCCTCATTTTATGTCCTTTTCTGAATCCATCTTGAAATTTTTGGAATTCCCTTTTGATGTACTACTACAACCATTCTTGAATCATTGCTAGCAAAACATGACTTGCATGTGTTATTTCTCTATAATTTCTGCATTCTGTTGTATCACCTTTTTTTATTAGTTGGGATTTAATACATGTACCATTCCATATTTCAATCACATCAAGCAGAATTGTACGATTGCTACCACAATCAGTTTCCAAACAGGCTTTTTCTTCCTGAACTCCTTGATATCATCTCCTTTTACCACCCCCATCCCTACCCCATCCCCCGCGAAACCCTTATTCTACTTGCTGTCCATAGGTTCATCAATCTTGGGTTTCATATACCGAAACACATAAAGACGTAACACAACTTCATGAGGGTGACCTCCACTAACATAACACCTCTGAGATACACTCTAATATGAATAAACAAAGACAAACCAAATCTACAGAAATGTTGAAAACCAGGTTAGGTCCAGCATGCATCAGAGGGGGGATCAACTGGCAAAGTTTTAACTGTTCAAGTCAGATTTATACCTTTGATCTTGTATACTTGTCTCCCCAATGCACTCTATCTAGTAACCACTGTCCTCCCAGCCCTCGCTTGTGGGTAAAGGAGATCGCTGGAAGCTTATTTCCTATGTAGTTCCCACAAATGAATCTTGGGCTCCCACTGTCATCCACCGCCTTCTGCACACAGGATTCTCACAACCTAGGCTCTGTTACTGATCCTTCCTTCACTTCAGGTGATAGGGAGTCCATCCTTTGATGACTGAGACTGATGATGGTGTGCTTCTTCCATGTGGACTTAGCTGGTATCTCGTTTGGATGGTTGCTTGTTTGGAGAGAAGACTTTAAGACCCCAGGTGCTTTAAAAAAATCATTTTATTGGGAGCTTTTATAGATAGAATAACATTCCATAGTTCGATCACATCAAGCATTATTGTACAATTGCTACCACATCAGTTTCAAAACATTCTCTTTCTTCTTGAACTCCTTGGTATCAGCTCCCCTTTGTCCTCTCCTTCCCCACCATGCCCCCATGACCCTTATTGATATTTTTTGCCCTATCTTACACCAGGGGTGTCAAACTGGCGTCCCCCGAGGTAATTTTTTGGTGGCCCATGATGCTCTGAACTAAATTGAAAATAGAAAAAAATGTTATGAAGAAAATAGCGCTTAGGGGAGATCGAGGCAATACTGTACACACAATTCTCTATTTACATTTTATTTCAGAGCATCCTGGGCCACAAGTAATTACCTCAGGGGCTGCATGTAGCCCGCGGACCGTCAGTTTGACACCCCCGTCTTACACCATTCAGTATATCCATTCACATACAATTCTGTTGTTTGTTCCCCTTGAGTGGGGTTATATAGTCAATGCTATGAGCTCCTCTCTTCCTGT